ACACACACACACACACACACACACACACACACACACACACACACACAAACAGTTCACACATCTCCATTGAGGAAAAGTTGAGGTGCTGGTCTGCGATCCTGCTAAGGAACGGATTTAAAGCTTTAAACAGTTATAAGAAAGAGGTAAGCACTTTCTCTCTGCCATAGTACTTTATTAAGCCATCAGTGTACTTTACTCTTTAAACAGACAATATCATGAGTAGAAGACACACCTGAAATAATCATAGCCAGCATTAGTTTGTACTGGAACATCACAACACTGTTTTCCTGGATTTCTCAGTGTCTTGTTTTGTCCGACTGAGAGAAACCAGTTTAATGTCAAAAAGAAAACCAACGCAGGTGTTTACATTTTAGAAGCAGGAACAACTGCATTTTTGCCATTATTGCTTAAAACGATTAATATATAAATAGATTTATTTTCTGTAGATATACTAATCGATTAACGGACAGATGGTTGCAGCTCTCAGACAGTATATAAAAATATCCGTGGTGTTTAAAAGAGTTGATATCTTCACAGCTTGGGGAGCAGATGACAATGTGCAGACATTTTGCTTTTGATTAAGTTCAGGGATGTGTGTGTGTGTGTGTGTGTGTGTGTGTGTGTGTGTGTGTGTGTGTTTTCTGGGCAGCAGAGGTGAGCTATGTCCTCCTGTGTGGTGAAGCCCAGAGGCAGGAACCCGTACACAGCAGTGCAGGTGGACCCAGACAGTGACTACATAACACCGGGAACATTAGACCTGGAGCAGCTGTTGTGGACCAGCACTGGGGCTCAGTATGCACATGTCAACCAGGTCTGGCCCAGCGTCTACATCGGGGATGAGTGAGTAAACACACTCTGAGATGGCTTTGTGCTTCTAAGGACAGCTTCAGAATGAGTCTGTGTGTCACACGGAAACAGGAAAACAGCTCTGGAGAGGCCTGGCCTGAGGGATCTGGGTATCACACATGTCCTTAATGCAGCAGAGGGAAAGTGGAATAACGTCCTGACTGGTGCCGATTACTACACTGACGTGGACATCCAGTACTTCGGTGTGGAGGCTGATGACAAACCCACCTTTAATATCTCCCAGTACTTCTGCTCTACAACCCAGTTCATCCATGAGGCCCTCAGTCACCCACAGAGTAAGTCCCGGAGGAAATCAAAGCTTTTAATTGAGATTATTCTCCGGAGGAGAAGCCTGTAAGCTTATCTCCGTTTCTAATGAAGCCATCTATCTTTACTTCATTTTGTTCTAGACAAGGTGCTGGTGCACTGTGTGATGGGTCGGAGCAGGTCAGCGGCTCTGGTCTTGGCATACCTGATTATGAAACACAGCCTAACTGTGGTGGATGCTATTGAGCATGTGCGACAGCGGCGCTGCATCCTTCCCAATCACGGCTTTTTGAGACAGCTCAGAGCTTTGGACATCACGCTGCAAGAGGAGAGGCTGAGACAAAAAAGAGAGATGCAACACCAATAGTACATAATAGATAACTGTTTTAATGTCTTCTGAATCCGTCTCAGGTATACAAAAATGCTCTTTATGAATCTTTGACTAGTATCATTAAACTGTTTTGTTTTTCACAACTGTGTCACGCTAGTCTCAAAGTTCAAATGTAACATTGAGTACTGGGATGTCCTACGGGCTTGTTTCAACAGCAAGAGTGACTTTGTCAATATCGGTAAAGTGTGTGAAGTGTAAGAACAGATTTCAAGGAGTGAGGCACACATAGCAGTTCCTGAGATTATATACTGTAGTTGATTTAAAGAAATTTTAGCTTTAAGGGAAGTTGTTGTACCATAGATTTTAATGTTTGATCCACAATCTATTGAGTTCATATCATAGATATCTTACTAAGAATTATCTTTAAATGAAAAAAAAGAGCCTTTGAGGGATTCAAAATATAATACACCAACAGAAAAAATATTAAACGAAAGATTGCTGTATATTTTATTTGTGAACTGTAGGCATGACAGTAAAGCACAAAGACGGGCAACTGAGACCAGGAATAAATTGTCCCTTAAGGCTTATTGGTGTATTTGAACATATAAAATAAACTAACAGTGGAACAATACCGACAGTAATACCAATTTCAAAACAACTCTTGTTGTATTCAGAAAAAAATACTTCGCCATGAAATATTTAGCATACATCTATATTCAGGATAGTTGTATTGAGGTATTCAATGTTGCACAGACCACAAAGTCTTTCAGCCTGAATTTAACTCATGTTATGATTTGGTTCCCTTCTTTTCCATCTTCCATTTGTAGACGTTAACATACAAAACTCTCAAAATCAGACTGTCTTGACGTTGGGTTACAAAATACAAAATAGAGAGATAATAATACACCCACAAAGAACAGAGGCCACTAATTCAGGAGAGAAATAACAATAGAAGGAAATGTCAGTTTTATTACCCACTGTATTCCTCTGACAGAACATTTGAATATATATTATTTCCTTACATGCATTTGAAATATGTTGTATGTCCATTTTTATCCCCACCAGCCACCAGTTGTCCCTCACTGATCTAGTTTGAAAGTCTGACTGTACAGACAGATGCAGGTTCATGTAACACCAGTCGGCCTCCGCAAACATTGCAACATTTCCAGAGAATGGAAGAACTAAAGGCACGTGTGACGAGAAGCACCTGCCCAAAAACCAGCGCGAGGACAGAAACTCGTATGTCGACATGTGTCGTGATGTTGACATTTAACTGTCATCACAAGAATCAGTGGGCAGAGGCTTTGACACATTTTAAAAGTGTACACTTCAAATAAAACCATTTGCTTTCATAACTGGCCCGTTGAATTGAATCTAAACAAGCACAAACAAAGAATATTGTTAAAAATGTACCAAAAACAAATCACTACTGCACATTTTCATTGCAGTATCCAAAACCTGTATTTTTTGACTAGTATATTGTTTATCCGTCCTCTGTTTGTGTAAAACGTGTCCTCACAAAGTGGAATTAACTTCTTGTGCTTTGATTCCGTCTCCAAGGGGGAAACAACAGACTCGTGTGATGTCAACACGAGCGAAACAAATGTCCATAAAAACACAATTTCATTTAGATCGTCTCTGTAAAGAAAAATGATCCCATCCTGTGATGTTGTCATGATCCCTTTATGGTAATTCAGAAACATAAACTAATCTTTCCTTGGCTCTTGGCTGCATGAACGGAGACGGGCACACTTGTCAACTAACAATTGGAAGGAAATTATGTCCGGATGAATTGAAAAACAACTTGGACGGGTGTCTGATCGTATTTGTTACGGGTCGGAGTTGTGTATGGCAGGGGGAGAATGAGGTTTCAGGCGGATGGAGTCGTCCCCGGAATCCCTCAGTTGAAGTCGGGTTTTTCTGGGAAGGTGCAACCTGCTCTTCTGATGATGATGTTGGCGGCGTAGTGTGCCGCCTTCACGCACTGATGCATTGGTTTGCCCTGGACCAGCTCACACAGAAAACCTGCAACGCAGAGGGGAGAAACTTTAACAGAAACGACAAAGAAAGCTACATATGCATCAACTGAAAACAAGAGGACAATCTTACCTCCTACAAAGGCATCGCCTGCACCGTTTGTGTCGACAATGTTCTTGGGGTCGATCTTCAGTACAGGGAAGGTCTCGACCTCGTCACCTGAACAGACACGAGAAGAAGAATTATACAATACCAACGATATAAGAACGATAAGAGACAGAGAAACAAAAGTAACATAAGGAAAGAAAAAGACAGAAATAGAACATCTTACTTTGAACCATAACAGTTTCATCCTTCCCTTGGGTTAACACTACAATCCTCTGTCTCTTTGTGTTGTCTTTGGGCAAAGCCTGGGCTTTTTTGGCAATTTCCTTTAGGTCCTCGGTCTACAGAAAAATGGCACATTAACATAGACAGTATATGATGCGGAAACGCATGAAAAATGTAGCACTTATCATTTACAAATGCCAAAAGACACCGTCACTCCACTCACCTCGAAGTCTTGCTCTTTAGCGAATGCCGCCGCCTCCTAAAGAACAAAAATAAAGATTGTTTGGGACAGAAATACGTGCTAAACATCAACATCTGGTGGACACAAAGCACTCCACGAGCACATGTTACAGCGTGTTTCAATTTGTAGAGTATCTGGAGAACGTAGTGTGAAAGTCTGGCTTACTGTTTCATTGCCGAACAGCACGTCGACGTAGGGCAGAACCTGCATGAGATTATCCTTGAAGAACTGACAGATGAAGGGCGCGGAGAGGTTCATGCAGAACAGCTTGTTGTTTTCAGACGCGTGTTTCGCCACTTTCAGGATGGAATCCAAAGAGACGGTCAGGAAGAAACCCTGGAAGCAAACGGTGACATTGGGTCAGGACTGATCTGCTTTTTATATCCTGACGGGCTCTAATGAATCACATGAAGTAAAGTCTGCACCAGTGTGTCAGGACATTCCCCGTGGCTTCACTTGTTAATATCAGAAGTGAAAGGCACGACACACTCTATAGTCATTTGGTAACTATTACTTACAGCAATATAGTAAACTTTAGCTTTCTCCACCAGCTTCCAGTTTTCTTCCAGGTCGAGATGCTTGTCCTTCTTATAACAGTTAGCAGCAGCTAGGTTAGCTACCAGAGACCTGAGAGGAGACAACAGTAAAAAGAGATGAAGAGTTAGAGACAGGTGAGATTATAATCAATCAACATGTGCTTATTATAATAAATACCCACCTGTTATCTCCGGTGATGCATGCAGCACATGTCCCTGTGGGCTCTTCATCTTGCTCGAAATAGTGGGTGTCGATGTGGGCCTCCTTCGCCTTCTGCTTCAGGATATCTCCAAACTTGTCTTTGCCAATGCAGCCAAAGAATGTGCCCACATTATGGGGTTCTTGGATCATCCACTACAGATGGCGACAACAGCTCTGATCAGCATCAGTTGATTAACTGATTGATGCGAGTGAGTTTGTAGGTACACGACTGACCTGAGCAATCTTTATGGAGTTCTGTGTGGCTCCTCCAGCGTGGTACTCAACTTTGAACTTCTTCACTAGCTCCTCAAATCTACACGCAGAAACAAAACATGAAACTCACATCATTCATATTTATAGGAGGAGATTCAATGGCATGCAGAAAGTTGCTTCACTCCCTGTTCACCTACAAAATCGTATGAATTAGTGGGTATTACAGGTTCTAGTAGGTGGATGCTTTTTAACATCAGACAGACCTAGGCTAGCTGTTCCTAAACGTCATGCTAAGCTAAGTGTCTCCTGGCTGTAGATTCATATTAAACAGAGTGGTGTCAATCCTCTCATATAACTCGGCAAGTAAGTGAATTAGTGTTTTGGGGCTAAAGCATCTCTAATTCTCTGTTTTTTTCCCAGTTTAAATACCAACATGGCAGCACCCAACCCCGGAGCGCTACAACAAGTACAGCCTGAATGGTTCAAGTAGAAACAACACAGATGGGTAGAACTTGTTAGGCCTTGCACCTTCACACAGTAACCAAGCTGTTATTAAGCCAGCCTAAACATTGCTGACTCTGAAGTTGGGAATCATGAGTACAAATCTTCCCTGATATAAATAACTCATATATAGAGATGTGACTGTCTTTAGTGGTTGCAAAATGTCATAACTAGAACTGTGGAGAGTCAGAATACATCTGTTTGATCCTCACACACGGTTACACTCTCTTATCTGCTGTTAAATGTTTGCTCGACTCAGAGGGACTGGGAGGAGAAGAGTCCCGGTTTGCTATTGGCTCAGACCGCCTCTCTGTGCTGAATCTGCTGCTCTGCCATTGGCCGTCTGCAGAGATACGGAGGTCAATGGTGGTGTTTTCTGGTGTGCGCCTGTTGTGACTGCTCTGCTCCAGAACAGAGAGGAACAAACTGTATGAATGCAGACCTATTTGTTTCTCTCCCTGCACAGACTAAAAACCAGACTAGAAATGTTGCAACATGGGAGTTACGAACAGTGCTTTGTGTTTGTCCTCCGCCAGGATCTGGTCATTGGGTTTCAGAGAGTACCTGCAGATCATTAAAGGAGAAAAAAGAGGCATTAGCTTCTTCAAGTCATCTGAAACGTACGCTACATCAAACCCTGCTGTTTCAACTCGTACAGTTTTATTTCACACACTCCAGAAAAGTAGTTTAGAATAAAAACCTCACACAACAAGCCAACGGTTATGTTTATGTGGATAAGCATTTCAGATACAATGGTGATGCTGCCAAATGGGTTTATCCCTCCTTTTGAAAATGTGATTAATATAATCAATAATTCATAGACAGAAAGTGCTTTTGTTACTACCTATCCCCACTCTGTCCAAATCAATATGTTGGTCAACGAAGTAAAAAGACAGTCTAGTTTCCTCGAAGCCCAGAGGTAGGTGAGGGATTAAGGTGCCGCTTTAGTCCTGCTTTACTCTATGTGACTGAATTAGAACTGTGCTTGGTTGGTTTAGCTCTAATCCTAGAGTTTATACAAGAGGTTTGAGAGTGGACTCTGAGCTGGAACCCTAAGGAGCCCTTTGCCCTGGTCAACGAAGAGTGACAGCTCGGACAAACCAGGAAAGTGCTGCTCTCACTGTGCAGGTTTCCGCTGATGAATCCCACTATTTCAAAGAATACACCGTTAATTAATAAATAAGTAAGTAAGTACAATAAATTATCTTAATTATGCAAATAAAAAAGGTGAATTGTTGAGTCAGTGTTTTTTGTGCTCTGCTAACTTCTTTTAAGGCTTAGCCAATGTGATTGAACTACATTGATGGATGATAATTAGTAATCATGAAACAGCAGGGAGTGGCATTGATTGTTTCACTAGCTAGAACAGACCGATGCCCATTAACTCACTAATGTAATGATACACTTCAGGCTGCGTGTAAGCACTACATCTGTAGGATGCACTGCTGATGTTGATCGGTCAGCTTTACCGTTTCCTGTGCTCTGCACTCTGACATACGCCTTATCTCGTATCTCTATTGACCAAATTACATCATAATGCCTTGTTCTATAATGGTCAGCCTTTCACTGGAGTGACTTCACCGACAGCAAACATCTGTATTTCACTTGATCTGATTGTGACCGTGCTTCACGGAGAGTTTACAGCAGCAAAAAGATGGACTTAGGCTCCTTGTATTTAAAAAAAAAAAAAAAAAAAAAAAAAGAGCTCAACATCGAAATAAAAGAGAATCCAAATATGTGTTAGTATTTCTTTGCCTTTATAATTCACGAGGAATCAAGGACAAGATGACAGCGCTGTATTTAGGTGACAAAAAATGTATTATAAATGATTTGAACTTACTTGTCCAAGAAGTCTTTGTCCACGACGGCAATGATGTCCAGTAAGGGGTTTCCCATCCCAAAGAGGGAATTAGGGCTGAAACACACAAAAGACGAAGCGTTAAAACTAAAAAGCTCTACTAGACTATCTTCCTTCTTTACTTGTATGTAATATTAGTATTATTTTTTATTGTATAGCTTTATAGAAGAGCAGTCTTCCTCCAGCTCAGTGTAGAAAGGAAGATTTCAAATGTAATGTGAGGTCACTTCACTGAATGGGCTGGGTGGTGGTTATTATGTTCATTTGCAAAAACCCACAGTTTTGTTTCCATGTGACTTCCATCACATGACTTAAAACCTTCCACTTTCACAGACGAGAGGAGCAGAAATAGCGCATATCTGAGAGAGACGGTTTGGAAACCTGTATGACTCGTCTACAAAATTACAAATTAATATGAATGCTGTGGTGCAAAGGGGAGGACCCGGTTAGTCATGCACGCAACCATGTTATGACACATTACATTACACGCAGAGTAAGGCAACATCAGGAGAGCTGTAGGCTGCGTGTCTCCGTACAGTCCGTTCTGTGCTGGGGCAAACAACTGAACACAGGGGTTGACTATCACAGCAAAAATCGTAGTGCTGTGATGCCAAATAATAAAACAGTACAGCAGTATACACCCCTTTGTGTCAACACACAACAGCCACATGTGAGCTTATCCCAGTAACCACTAACTGGTTACACACATCTTTGCAAATTGTAATAAACAAGCACCAAGAGTTTCTGGTAGCATGTTAATAATGTGTACTCGGATATGCGTCTTGGTGTCGTCTTCACTCGTGAACGATAACCACAATCTTGTCAGCGTTTCTGGGGGAGAAACCCAGATGGAGTCTCACAGGCCGTGACATTATGCCACATCCACATGAACGTTCACTGTAGCAGAAAAAAGCAACATGGACGAACGTCTTTTGAAAAAACAAGAGTAGGGAGATGTCATTATATTAAGCAGATAGGTTGTTGGAAAAACAAAAAAAAAATGCATCTACCCAGCAGATGCCACACCCTTACTATCATTTCCTACAGCACGTGCATCTGTCAATATGCAGGCAGAAGATTACTGGGCTTGTGCAGCCAATCACACCTGCCTTTAGATCAATTCCCTCTATCAACGTGTTCTTACCTTGAAGAAGACATGGTGTCTCTCTCTCTCTGTGCGTGTCAGCTCGATACTGACAGAACTGTTGAGCAACCTAGAAACCAGCTCAGAAAGAGCTAAGCATTCAAAAACTTAAGAATTTCAGCTCAGCGTACAGGAAAGATCGATTTTACCCTGAAAAACAGCTCCTCCTACTCGGGACCGACTAATTGGACACATCTAAGAGGGAGGAACAGAACAGTCTGTCTCTGGCTCGCGATTGGCTTTGTCTTGCCGACTCAATCCGCTCAGTGCTTTGAAGCTCAATTACATCGTGAGGAGCCTGCTGATGATCGCGGCCGCTGAGATGCCACAATCCGACAACAGCAGGTTACAGTTAGAATAGAGGAATGTAGCCGAGTGATGCAATGTTCAGATTGATTTCGGCGGGGAAAAAAAAAAAGATATAACGTTGCATATTCACGACCATGTGACTACTTTGCAAATGCCTTGTTTTGGGAGGTGGTGCAGGATCGCTACACTAGGCAGCGGAGCCGATCCTTGGCACTGAAGGTGCTAAGTATTTGCCTCTGCAGCTTATAAACATGCTGGGGGCAGGTGGTGGTGGTCACGTTGATCTTAGATTAGATATTGGCACACTTGATGTAGTTAACGGACGGTACTAGACAACAGCAGAGTCTCTGAACGCTTCTGACCTGACTCTGTAGCGGCATGTTACAAGATAACTACATCAAAGGACTTTACACCGGTCCTTATCAATGGCGACCGCTCACCCAGCGGTGGTGGTGCATGCAGATATGCAATGGTGTACAGCAAATCACAATTTTCAACCTCACTCACATGTCACACGTGCATTCATGCGTTAAGGTTTACATTTCACACTAATTTGCGCACATTAGCATTCAAACCAGGGTCATGTCTCCTCGCGCTGCAGGGAGGCAGTTTCTTGTATTCTTTTTTTTTAACTTTCGGTCACCTTAGCTCTGCAGCAGTCTTTTTGGTCGGAGACTCCGCGTTTTTGGTCGGAGATTCCGTCTTCTTGGTTGGAGACTCTGTCTTCTTGGTTGGAGACTCTGTCTTCTTGGTTGGAGACTCCGTCTTCTTCTTCTCATCAGACAGTCTTTGTTTCTTTGCTTTAGAAGCCATGGTTAACTGCGCACGTTGCAATCACCTCAACCGGTGTCAAAACGCGGTAGTGTTAACGGTTAGATTGGATCGTTTGTTTCCCTGAGGACACCCTTGCAGGCACCGGTTTCCTCCTCCAGTCCGTGTGGCGCGTACACAGAGCTCAGCCAGTCAAAAGCCTTACATTTAGGTTTTTCTGGAGACGTGGTCGCCTACTTTTTTAGCACTTATGATAAATAAGGAAATCATAAAACGTCTGGTATAAAGTCTTGAACAATTGTTCGGATTATCACGTGAAAGGTTTTCAACCTTTATTGAATGCAGACCTTCATCTTTGGAACTAATATTAATTCATTACAATACAACTGAGAACAATATGGACTACATCAAATGAATAACCTAAATCAAGATAAAATTAATATTATATGAATAATAAAATAGTAATAAATAAAAGGTACCAGGTTTCAGTTTTAAACCCTAAACGTTTAGTGCGTGAGGGCTGCTACTTCTCCGCCAAGAAAATTTTTGGTTTTCGTGAGTTCGGCCCTGGCACAAACACCTGGAAGATTTCACGCAGGGCAACACATCCCAAAGGTCTCATACAGACATGGATGTAGCTGCCCACAATTTCTGCCTGACTAAAAAGTCCGAAACTTTGATCTGAAAGTATCGATCAGTTTGACACTACGGTTGCTTTGTATTTAAACTTTCCGGGGTTTATTTCAGGGCTTTACTAATACTATTTGAACTTTATTCTTTTGATTTATCGATATGTTCTCGTGACTAAGTTGTGTTTACGTGTGAGTAGATCTGCAGGCGTCTCCTCAGCAACTCGAACAAGTCTGCCTTACCAAGTAGACAACTTTCTTTAATACCTTTTGCACAATCAACCGAAGTAAGCAGGTAAAACTTTGAATAATCCTTGAAACTCTTTGTACATTATCCCTTTTGCAGAGCTTTCATGTCGCTGTCACTCTCGAGTTTGTTTTATTTCTTAACATTAAGAAACTGATGGTGAGAATCTCCGAAGTTGCCAATCTCAGGTTTGCTAGCCAGCTGGTTAATTTAAATTTAGTTTAACATAATGACAGTAGGTACACTGCAATCAAATAATGCACGAGGAGTTTTACATTTTGCTTAAAACTGCTGATTTAATGTCTCCATCTGCCGCTCAGTAACACAGAGCAGTAATATCCTCAACAACCAACTCATTGTTGCAGCTAAGATGATCCACAGTCTGTTCCTGATTAGTCACTCTGGAGACATCTTCCTGGAGAAACACTGGAAGAGTGTCATCAGCCGGAGTGTGTGTGATTACTTTTTCGAGGCCAAGGAGAAGGCGGTGGACCCGGAGGATGTGGCCCCTGTCCTGCAGACCCCGCACCACTACCTTATCACCATATACAGGGGCAAGCTCTTCTTCCTCTCTGTCGTCCAGACCGAAGTCCCTCCACTGTTTGTCATTGAGTTCCTGCACAGAGTGGCAGACACATTTCAGGTGTGATTGAATTCCGTGTTATATATTTATTTATAAGTCAAGACATCTTTGGTTCTGTTCAAACTTGTACAATGTACAAAAATGTGTGTATATAGAGCACATATTGTAAATTATTAGTATGGAATTGAGACTCATGTTGGGTATTTTTGTCGACAGGACTACTTTGGAGAGTGCTCGGAAACTGTAATCAAGGACAATGTGGTGACAGTGTACGAGCTGTTGGAGGAGATGCTGGACAACGGAGTTCCACTGTCAACAGAGTCCAACGTCCTCAAAGAGATGATCAGGCCTCCCACCACCCTGCGATCAGTTGTCAACACGCTCACAGGTACATGGAGGTCACCGCCTTCTGTCTAGTTCTCACTCTCAGCATGTGAAAGCAAAGGGAACTTCCTGATTGTCCTTTATACTCTCATGATAAGGAGGTCTGCTCCGGGTGTGTGGCTTCCCACACCTGCTCCTAATAATGTCGTATGGGAGGGAGTAGAGCCACCTGGCAAGAATGTAGATGTCTAAAATTACCCTGCTCCTCAGCTCTTGCATTACATTAATTATTATCTACAATATCTATGTGTACATTTATGTGTTTGCCTTTGTTTTGTGTGTTCTCCAGGAGGTAGTAATGTTGGAAATACATTACCAACAGGTCAACTATCCAATGTCCCATGGAGGCGGGCTGGAGTTAAATACACCAATAATGAGGCATATTTTGATGTGATAGAGGAAATAGATGCCATTGTGGACAAATCAGGTACAAACAAGCACTTGTGGACAGATGAAGAGTGTATCCATGGCGGTTAGAAGTGATTACTTTTTCCTGGTAGATTAGATAATTAGACGTAGTTACTCTGTAAACGTGCTTGCATCTCCTTCAATCTTTAGGTATGACAGTATTTGCAGAGATCCAGGGTGTAATTGAAGCCTGCGTGTGGCTCACTGGGATGCCTGACCTGACTCTGTCCTTTATGGTTGGTTCATTTCCTCTTACCTGTGTTTTTCTTAATGTGCATATTTCTGTGTCTGCCAGTGCTTCGGTCCAAATGTAAAATTCACTCGCCATCGTTGTCGCTTTTGATGACAGAATCCTCGTCTTCTGGACGACGTGAGTTTCCACCCGTGTGTGCGGTTTCAGCGCTGGGAGTCGGAGCGCGCTCTCTCTTTCATCCCGCCGGATGGAACCTTCACACTCATGAATTATCATGTCAGCTCTCAAAAGTATGTTATCTGTATGTCTTATTTATAATAAAGCAAAACAAAACGTGTGTAAATATGTGATCTGAGCATCAACATCTTCTAGCGACGATGAAATCTCTGTTGTGTTATTGTCTTCGGAGTGGATTAAAATTCTGGTTTAATTTCCGCATTAAGGATTCACAATCCACTCTTGTTATCGTGTTTACTTGTAAACACAAGCTGGTTGCTGTCTGCCTGCTGAACCCAACTGTTTATTGTCATCGTGGTTCATGCTATCTGTGTCCATCCTCAGTCTCGTGGCCATTCCAGTGTACGTGAAGCAGAGCATCAGTTTCTTTGAGTCGGGACCTTGTGGTCGCCTGGACATCACGATCGGACCCAAGCAGACCATGGGGAAGACGGTGGAGGCTTTGATGGTCAAAATCCACATGCCTAAAGCTGTGCTCGGTGTCAACCTCACAGCCACACAGGGAAGCTACACCTACGACCTCCCTACCAAGGTAACAACCAACAACAAGGCCGTCCTAAGTAGTGATACTGTAGTTTTGTGTTAAATGAGAAAGCCTCCCACTGTTGAATGTGGACCCTTTTATCCAATTATTGTCAAGAATCATATCAAATGCTTCACTAACAAGCTGCTTACATCTTAGCTGCCTAACACGTAAGTGATAAATTGATGGCCAAAGTAACGTTAAAACTACCTTTTTAAAGGCATGATATTTATATTCTTTTAAGACGTACTTGCGCACTAGATTTTTTTTGTAGCTCAACAATGAAACAAGTGATGCAATCTTGATCAGAACTGGTGGTGTTATAGAGAAAATAAAACTAAAAACAAAAATTTTTATTGTCCTTACCCGGAGCATGTGTGTGTTTTGATAGGTGTTGGTTTGGGACATTGGGAGACTGAACCCTCAGAAGCTTCCTAACTTGAAAGGCAGTCTGAGTCTACAGGCAGGAGCCCCCAAACCTGAAGATAACCCTTCACTCAACATTGACCTGAAGGTTCAGCAGGTGGCCATATCAGGTAGTCCTCGCTTTATACATACTTTTTATTTGGGCCAAGTTTAAAGTCAGTTTTCAGTCATTGCTCACTTTGCTTCTCTCCCCTCTGTACAGGTCTTAAGGTGAATCGTCTTGACATGTTTGGAGAGAAGTACAAGCTGTTTAAAGGGGTCAAGTATGTGACTAAAGCGGGGAAATTCCAAGTGCGGACCTGAGTACTTTAAGAGGTCAAAAGTCAGCAATCCAATGTGCCAAATAGGGGGCAAGGTTATCAATACTCCAATATGTCTTGCCTCTGTCTAATTGTTTTTAATTAACAGTTATTTATTATGTGGCCTCTAAAGTGAAGCCTTAATAATCAATGTGACTATGTTGAAGTGCTAATAGTTTCTGTCCAGTTTAAATGTGCTGCATTGTATGAACCAGTCCTCCTCCTCTTTGAGCTATTTTGGTTTTCTGTTTTAACAAGTGTTGCCTAAGGGGAATATTTTGGTTTGAAAAGGGACACTTAGGGCTCACCGCCTCCTCCTCGCTACTTCATCACACTTTTCCAATCTTACATACATGTTGCCTGAGAGAAAGCAGCCATGCCTTTTGAAAACCTTTTTACCGAGTTGCTGAGTATTTGCAGTATGTATTGTGTATTTGCACACATTCACTCTTCAATGTGGCCTTGTTTAGGGTGCTTTGTATAGCACACTACAGCACAAACTACATGTTTCGAGGGCTTCGGGGAAGTACATTTTTTTTTTTTAAATATATCTATATCGAAGGGACATAGTTTGACTTATCTGCAGAGCCGAGATACGAGCTAGTGATTCCAGCAGTCTGTTGGGAAGTTTTCCTTTTTGTGAAATCTACAAAATGCTCACTTAATGTCAAATGCAACTTCTTTACTCGGCACAACATTTGCACAATCAATTGTTCACAGGAAAAAAATACTACTTGTATGAAGTTGAATCTGTATTTCAGTGTATAAGAAGTCTTATAAAACTTTTGAAAGTATGATTTTCATGTGTGCTCTTTTGGCCATGCTAGCAGTATGGCTAGTGTTGTGTATGGTTCTATGTCGTGCTGTGAATGTTTGTGTGTGTATTCTGTGTCTTTTGACTTCTAGGTGCAGCTCCCTAACGAGTGATTGATGGCACCTGAATGAGGATGTGGTTTACCTATATAAACACCTCCTTGCTCCGCTTTTGCTCTCTCTCATTTGCCTGGCACCAGACCCTGGTCTGCAGTGGGGTTTGCACACTACAGTTTACTTGTGTCCTGTAAATAAACTGGCAGCTGTGGTTGTTGTAACCTAACTTGGTGTTGTGGCCCTCCTATATGTTGCGACTCCCGAGCCGGTCGTAACATAATGGGGGCTCGTCCGAAGCTCAGTTAGCCTTGGGTAATTTTTTACTCCTAGACTTAGTTAGTAGGTTCAGGCTGATGTCACCACTTAAGGTAGAGTTTTTAGTTTTTCTCTTTTTGAGCTTGCCTGGTTAAGAAAGCCTGCGGGTGTTGGAGAGACCAGCACCACTTTATTGTTTTTGGTGTGGTAACCCTGGGGTGGCCCCTGGCGTGCCCAGGAAAGCCGATGAAGACTAGTTGAGGTTTAGTCGGATAGAACTACAGTTTGTTAAAGAGGAAACCAGATGAGTTCAAGAATAGGTCAGTTTGAAATGTTCATTCCTCAGGATAGTATGTGGTGGCATTTGCTGGCCTTTGTTCTTCACACATGCTGTACGCTGTGTGAGTAGTAAGAGTGGAGAAATATTGTTGTGCACACTAGTTTTGGTTAAATGCTAGGCTGTAGTTTTGTTCTTCTTTGAACCCTGATTCGTCTGGCTGGCTTAGTAAGCCAGTGCTCATGCTTTTCTATTATCTGTGTGAGCTTCGTGTTCAGGTAGTCGCATGCTTCTTGCAGGGACTACATTTTGTGGAACCTACTTTCTTCTCAGTGGAGGTAGAAAAGTAGTGTTTAGAATTTCAGTGTATCGTAGGGGTAAGAGTACTGTTAACACTATTTCTATACTGTGTGGCCTGAAATAGTTAAGTAGCTGCTCTTGTATAGACAGCCTAGTTATTGGTGCATTTCAATTACTCTCTGATTTTGTGTAGGTAAGCTGTGCTATTTGGTAGCACCATTTCTGTGTGGTAGTGCTACTTTGTGTTGGGGGTTTGGCTTACTTAGGGGGAGCCCATTTTTGGGTGTGCTACCTTGTAGAGATTTGTTTCACATAAAGTTGTTTTTGTGATCTCACAATGAATTCTGATTTTCAAGAGATCAGTGAAGGTCCTACAATAGAGCAGCTGGCTCAATGTACCAAAGCCCAGCTCATGTCTATTGCAGAGCAGTACCATCTTGAAATTGCTCAAACTTCCCTTAAGAAAGGTCAACTTAGAGCTAAGGTAGTCACTGCACTCATTGAACAGGGAGTATTGCCCCGTGAATCTAGTCAGTTTGATGAGGAGCAGGGCTTACATGTGTCAGCGGGTTTAACTGTTGGGGAGACAGAACAAGTAATCTTGAAGTCTCACGATGCTCAATCTGGGGATACAGGAGCCTCTCAGTCCTTGTTTTTGGCAGGAGTTTTGCCTCTCTTAGAAGACCTCCACTGGTAGCAGTGCTTCAGTCCAAGGATGTGGGATGAGGTGGCTTAAAGCCCCATTGCATGTTGTGTATTTACAATCTGGGTTGGTTACCGGCCCTGTCGTGGTGGCGATTCATCCCCAGCTTCCTTTAGGGGGAGTAGACCTGATTTTGGGTAATGATTTGGCTGGAGGGAAGGCGTTTCCTGCTCCCATTGTAGTGGATAGACCAACAGGCTCTGTAGTTGACAATTACCAGAGTGCTGATCTGTCATCTCGGTTGCCTAAAGTCCTTCCTGCTTGCATTGTAACTTGTGCCCAGTCAAGAAAGTATGAAGATGTAGTGAATTTATCTGAAGTGGCTCCAACTGTTGATAGTCTAGAGGCTGATCCTGATCCTTCTGTAACTTCTGAGTTGCCTCTAGATAAGCTGTCCACTAATGCTGTTGGAAATGAGTCTACTGAAGTTAAATTGACCTGTCCTGTCACTGTGCCTGCTGGGCCTGACACACAGTTGAAGGTTGGCAAGGAACAGCTGATGGCAGCCCAGGAGGCTGACCCTCCTTTGGCCAAGTGTATGACAGCAGTGTTGCCTAAGGATGAGAGTGGTACTATTCATGCCACTTTTACTGGGAGGTTGGTATCCTCATGCGTGAGACGTTTTCTTCTGTTAAAACAGCATGGATTTGGATGACACCCTTATGGCTGTCATCTTAAGGAAGGGAGTGTTGCGTATGGTTCTATGTCCTGCTGTGAATGTTTGTGCTTGGGGGTGTGTGTGTGTGTGTGTGTGTGTGTGTGTATATTCTGTGTCTTTTGACTTCTAGGTGCAGCTCCCTAACGAGTAATTGAGGGCACCTGGATGAGGATGTGGTTTACCTATATAAGCGCCTCCTTGCTCCACCCTCGCTCATACAGATGTTAGCATTTAGCTTAGTACAGCCTCTCACAGCTGCTTGCATGGTAGTAGACATGTTGCATCTAATGTTATGTTTTGGTAACAGTGACTTACAAAAGTGAATTAAGAGGCAGACTCCAGTCATTATAGTTTTTTTTTTTTTTTTATTCTTCCAAGGCACAGCAGATGTGTTGGCAGGGCGAGAAGCGATCAGAATACATTCAGGCTGTGAATGAACACATCTAGTACACACAGAGGTTCACCCTGTCGCTCTCAGTGAGAGGTCAGTGACTGCTACATGCTTCGTCGGCCCAAATAAAGATGAAAATGCGGTTAACATTTGGAGCTCTGTCCCTAACCATCATGGGAACGGCTCACTAATACTGATTAAGTAAAGAGGCTTCACGCATGCACATAGATGACTAGATGAACGTCAATGCTTGATGTCACATAAAAAGGTTGTTTCTGACCTCAAACCACCGGGGTCATCTCTAGAAAATCTGGGTTGATGCTTCAAAGCATTCAGAGTGGGACTGCTGAGCTCACACATGAAGAAAAGCCTAAAAGCAGGAAGTTGAATGGCTGTCTAAAATCATTGGTTTTGATAAATTTCGAATATAATATCCAAACAGTTCAACTGTTACAGAGAGTGCAGAAACTAAGCACAATTAGTTAAAAATGAGAAAAAAAATACTTGAGCTTCTCCAAAGAGGTCTGTCTCGTTGTTTGTAATAACCTGGATTTTAATGTTTTAAGATGAATGTTACAGTTACCTAAAACAAATCCTTTGGTATTGTTCACTGTTAAACTCACAACAGACATTAAAAATATCTCAACCCTCCTTGACTTTTACTGTTACTCATAATGCAAAAGTCATGTGAAAACCTTATCTATTGTATCAACCTTCCTGCAATCAACATTATTTGACAACCATACATTTTTGTCTTAAATATACAATCATTTTTTTAAACTGGTATTTGCCTGTAAATCATAACACTTTTCATCCAGAAGACTTTTTAGTCACCTTTGAATTCATAGATCAGATCTACAGTTCAGAAGAGTGTCACTACAAAAGTAAACATGAAGTAAGGAGAGCTCATCACACAAGACTCCACACTCTAGTGTCAAACTCGGTGTATAAAGCTCATAGCTGAGTGTTGTCCATAAAACAAAGTTACTGTATATACAATAGACAATAAGAAAAAAAAAAAGTTAAAGTAAATGCTTCTAGGAGATAAGTATCTTAATGTCATAATTTGCCTTTAGAAAATAGAAAAAAACATTTTCATGCAAAAAATATATACCTGGGATTTGGATAAACTCTTGTAACACAACCTACCAAAAATATATATTAAAAACTGTCTCCGATTAGCCCACATCTACGTGATACCACAGTTACAGATAAAGAGAACTGGAGAGCAAAGCTGAACTCACTCCAATAAATGAAACCTGCTTGGTACCTAATCTAAAAAAACACATCACCATCAGTTTCCTCCTTGAATAGTGCACGTTTACTCATGAGTATGCATGTTGTTTTACTCGAGGTGTGTGCTATCGGTGCTATGTAAGTTAAGAGTGTTACTAGTTTCAGTGACCAGGTTTGTTTATTGGTACCAGGGGGTCTTACGCACCCAGCGGAGGGTGCATCCTGAATCTGTGCGGATCCTGATTGAGGCTGCTTCTGCTTCTCTGACGGTCTCCTTCACTGACTGCATCAGATTCTGGGCGTTATGGACCAACATCTCTGTGGCCTGTTCAGGGAAACGTTTAGAAGCGAAGCAGTTAGGTGTAAAATAAGACAGGTGGGACAAAATGAAAAATCAGTTATTCAGCAGTGGTGGATAGTAACTAAATACATTTACTCAAGTACATTATATATACGTTCAGAGAGAAACGTTGTAGTTTTTATTCCACAACATTATTTTAGTACCTTTAGTTACTTTGCAGATTCAGATGAATAAAAATAATGATAATGATAATTAATAATAAGATAAAACTTTGTAGGAAAATGAACAATCCACCCAGCAATATATGAAGTAGTTAAAAGTAGCCCCACCTTTAGCAACATTAACGTGATGTACACATCATTTATGATGTACTGGTCCTCTAACTCATAATAAAATTCAGTGTTCATTATAAAATTCAGTGGTTGTTATAAAATCCAGTGTTATATCAGTTACATTCCTTCCTGGCCCCATGTTGTCTTGCATAATATTGGTTCCAATGAGTAGTGCAGTGCTGTATACAGTCTTTCAATTTGTGTAAACAAGATCGCTGGTATTGAATTGGTTCTCATCATGTGCAATTCCGTGAGTTTACCTGCTCTGACTCCTCTTCACTAATGTTTGTTCGTCCCAGCATGGTGGCTTTGACAGTAGAGAGGATCTTCAGCTGAGTACTGATGGTGGGGATTCGTTCACACACCTTTGGAAGGAGAAAAAAAAACGTGTAAATTATTTTCTGTCCTAGACATAAGGACTTTTCAGCATGTGTCTGTATGAGTATGTCCTTACCTGCAGCAGGTTAGTTC